GCTCACCCAGTAAGTCTAAGAAATTAATGAATTTGTTTCAAAATAAATATTTTAAACACAGACAAAAAGGAAAGAATAATATATTGGCTTGGGTATATACAGGCCTATGTTCACGCAAGAACTGCCATTCTGACGGACAACCGGAGAACAACAGATATTAAACAGCCTGCTGTTAGAGTTATATAATGTAGTCTACAATTGATCATAATTGATATCTCAAAAGGATATGCTGCTGCGCACTGCAACGTGAGATTTTCATAAAATATAATGGCTTGCCATTTCAGTTTGTTTCTCACCAAACCCTCAGTATACCTTGAGAATGCTTGGAATATACGCCACGAGATGCATAGGATTATTTTACGACAGATTTGCATCCGCTTCAAAAAACAAAAAATTTAGTCACCATTCTCTGCCATTACATTGGCAAGTGCGAGCAGGACGTGTGTGTTATTAAGTAATAAGCCTTTAGAGCAACATTAAGGTGAGGAGTGACTCTAGTTCACACAGTTCTAATAAATTGCGATGGGTTAAATAAACTCAATAAGCAGACAGACTACAGTCAAGCGCAGACCAGTATTGAAGTGCAGAGGAAATAAGCAGCAGTCATATTTAAAGCAGTTTACATTAATATTGAGTACTGATTACTGATGTTCACTTGGATTTTTTTCCCCATCGAGGGGAAATAACTTAATACTCTGTCATTTATAGTCGTATGGTAAAATGTATATTTTTAATTGTGTAACGTTACGTTCAAAATAACTACAAAATGTCATGCCTTTGAAAAATAAAGAGAACAACAGAATGCACTGCTTTAGCGCGTCTCGGTCTCCTTGAGCATCTTTCTGCCGCATGCCACAAACACGAACCACAGTGAATACTCGTCTTTTAAAAGGCTTAATTTAGATTATTTTACATTAAATGCATCATATAAGTCACTTTGGAATAAATCACAGTAGGCCTATGTATCATGATAAAAAAAAAGCGACTTTACAGTCTGGAAATACTTTAGGCTATAGCAAATTATTTCTCGGACCCCCTATCACTTTAAGAACCGCTGGTCTACACAGAAGAAAGCCCTGTCTAGACTCTGCCC